ACAACCACAGACGCAATCTCACACACACATACACTCTCCCCCCCCCCAAATATAATTTTTATTTTTTTAAGGTCCCCCCAGTATCTCTACCTTACGAGAACTGAAGTGGATCCTCAGCTTGGGGTCCAGTGTGGGCTTCTGTGCTGTGACGGAGCTCCATCCATATGTGCATTGCTTGTACAACTCCCTTGTGTACCCTGCAGAGGTGCCGGGAGCCAGAATGTGACGTCACTCCGGTCCAGGCACCTCTACAGGGCACACGTGGGAGCTGTAAGCGATGCATGTATGGATGGAGCTCCCTCAAGGTCATACCCCCAGCCCACCCCACCTCAAGCTGACACTCGGCGCCGGGCAGCATATATTGAATGGCTGCTCAGCACGAGAACTGACAGTACTGCACTAGAGGGTGGCAGAGGAGCCTCTCACCTAGGCACACACAGCAACCCACTAAACATGGGGGTGCGACCCACCAGTTGAGAACCAAGGTACTAAAGGGAGTACTGATGGCAAACATATAAAGGATAAATAAAAGCAATCTTTGTTGTAAAATGTTTCTAGTTTGATGACTTTTAACCTTCTGCTTCTGCAGGATGGCTCCTGAGGTGATTCTGGCTATGGACGAGGGGCAGTATGATGGAAAGGTGGATGTCTGGTCTCTTGGGATCACCAGCATTGAGTTAGGTGAGTCTTATTTGGTATATTAACCTTCTGACGCCCCTCCTAAGGGTGGAGAACTTGGAATAGGAACGGCTGCTGATTCCCTAATTGTCTTAGTGGGTGTGTTGAGTGGTGCTGGATGTGTGTTTCATAGTTTGCTCCTAGTTTTTGAATAGGTAGGGATTGAGTTTTTCGGGGATAGCTCTGCTCATGTAGGGACCAATCAGGGTTGTAGCCCTTTAACAGTGTAATGTTGGTATTCATTGGGTGGGCCTTTACAAAGAATCACAAAGCTTTAAAACTTGAAGAATCTGCTCCTTTTTATAAGTAACCAACGTACCTTGTATATAATGACCCCTCCGTAAAATGCTGCCCCAACCAAAAAAACATGGGGTAGGTATAGCAATGAGCTTTCCTGATGTCTTCCCATAACACCAATGTATACATCTCGCCCAATGTCTTTCATGCCGCGGTCTTTGTATGGTTCTTATTACTTTACTAACAAAGTTTTGTTGTTTTTTTCCCCTTTGGTAGCGGAGAGAAAGCCCCCGCTCTTTAATATGAATGCTATGAGTGCCTTATATCACATCGCTCAGAACGAGTCTCCCGTGCTGCAGTCCAATCACTGGTGAGTAGAACCTGACCAACTATTTGTTAAAGGCAAAATATCAGCAAATTAAACTTTGGCTTGAAGGATTGTGAAAAATATCCAAGAACGGTCTTATCTAGATAAATTCATCTAAAGATGGAATGTCCCTTTAACACTGAGCGCTCATCGAGGATCTCTGAAGGACACATCAAGGTGTCATTGCCCCAGTTCCTGAAGCAGAATTGTTTTAAGTTGTTTTGCTCCAACCTGTTTACAGTACCTAAGCCCAAAGGGGGCATCTGCCTCACTTGATATACAAAGCACTAAACGATATCATTTGAGCTCAAATTCTCTGTTGTACAGGTCTGAATATTTCCGGAACTTTGTGGACTCGTGTCTTCAGAAGATTCCCCAGGACAGGCCCAGCTCTGACATGTTGCTGAAGGTAATAGAAGTTTTTACTGCTGCTGTCCAAAATTGAATTTTTTTTTGTCAAATTGATATTATGTTTAATAATTTTGATAACATTTCTTAGCAGCTCTCCCATAAATGTGATGTTCATGGTGGAAGGGAGGTGTGGAGTTACACCTCAGTCATCTTAGTGTGCCTAAATGTTCAGTAAGAGGGGAAACTATTTCTTAAAGAAGACCTTCACGTCGG